GAATACATGCAAACACTAAGTTTACCATGGAGTTAGAAAAGGAAAATGAATTGCCTTTTTTGGAGCAAAGAAGGTCGAAATTTAGGTCGAGTCGTATATAGGGAAGCCACACACGCAGATTTCCTTATTACTTTATTCTACAACCAAACATATAGAGCAAAAAAGGAGTTATAAAGTCTATGATAATAAGGAGTCTGCGTCTGGCAAATGTAAGCCACAGGGATCAGAAGATTGGTAGATTGAGGCATATACTGTTTCAAAACAATAACATATCGATTGTAGTTAACAAGATTAAGGGGAAATTCCACTATCAGTTCTTCGTCACCTTAAACGAAATTGGGTGAATGCATCTCAAGATTAAGGGAGTTTGCTATCCGATACTGGATAGAAAACTGGACAATTCAACTCGGTTCCTGATCTTGCATTCACATCAGCTTGCGAAAAAATTTAGGTGAACTGAGGAAATAGAACATAAAAATAATGTATAAAGGGAAATTAACACTTTCTCCATTAGTTCCTTAGTTAAGAGAATATTCAGAGCCTCTCTCTAGATCAGGCTGTCACAAGGTTTTGTGCTCATGTGGTAAGGTATATGTGGGGGAGGCCTCCGACCGATTCACAAGAGACTATGCAAATTTAAACCGCTTGTAAAGTTATGTGGGTCCAGAAATCTGAGATCGCTGAACACATGGCCAATATAGGACACTCAACACTGGTCCAAAACACAACGTTTTGCAGGCTACGGAGACTTCACGCCAAAGCGTAAGACTAGTGAGTCTATAAAAACTAACAAAGCAGCCTACGTCCTGAATAGGAGAAACGAGCGTAGAAAACTAAGTAGGAACTTTTTGTGGCTTTTGGATAGACTTAAGGAGGGATAAAGAGGGAGTGCACAAAAAAGGAGAATGCTAGATTAGCCTCGAGTCAAGCTAGTCATAACACTTCACACGACATGAACATTGCAATAGACAATAGAACAAGCCCAAACATGATTCGACATTAGACGATCGTACTCTAATTTATTTGTGTAGGGAAACAGCTGCCACAAACGCACTTGTGGTTGTGAAGTAACTTCACCCATTTGCAAACACATAGAGTAAGGTTGAAATAGCCAACCAAATCAGGGAAGGCCTCATTATGATCGCGATGTTAGGTGTATAAAAAAGCGACTAGGGTTACAATCGGCCACCTTCTTCTCTTGGTTTAGTATATCTTTGCTCTATTTCGTAAAGCATGGAATCCTGCTCTGATATCTGTCACAGTATAGACGAAAGCTTAGCATAGTTTCGAAGAGTGAGGAAGACCTCGACTCACCGTTATTTGACCCCAATCGATCCATGCTGAGCTTTCGTTCGCCATGCAACGGATATAATCAGTCATAAACCATTATATACGAAGGATCACCAAAAAACACTAAACAATAAAAGGTGGCCGTCTGAAATTCTACCTACCTTTTATCCCTCACTTTTTGGTCTTAATGAGGCATTCCATAAAGTATTTTCGTTCATACGTGGGGTTTCGAGACTATTAATCAGTTAAATGAGATGTGTTCACCCTACTTCGTTTAAGGTAATGAAGAACTCGTGGCAATGCGGCGTAGTGGTTAACGTGTAGATTTCACGCTGTATTGTCATGGGGATGTTGATAAGATATAGGCGAGGTCGAAACTGCAGTCCACTCAGGATGAGAATATCTTGAGAAGGAAGAGTATGTGAAACTCAATGGAAGCATCAGCTATACTCAGATCATCGTTGGAAAATTCAACTACTGGTCCTTCATCACCTTAAACGAAATAGAATGGATACATTTTATATTCCATAAATCAGTTGACTACCTTGTTCTTGTCCTACATGCATCTATACGAATGAAGTTTGATGCAAGAAGGGGAGCGGAAGTGGCTCATCCTGTTCCTTCGCTCTCTCTCTCACACACACACGCACACATTCTATCCAGCAGTCAGAAATAGTTCTTGCCTAGTTCCCATACTCGTTCCTCTTATTCAGCGTGTTATTTGTTATTTTGGTTTCAATTAGCTCCCTGATCGTCCGCCTAGCTGTGAAGTCCGCATATCCGATAAAACTTTGGATTTTAGACCATTCGATCATGTATTCAACCACCTCAGATTCCTTTGCAGGCGGTTTTGTTATGACAACCCATGATGTAGGAGTCGACAAGTCTTTCTCACAGAGATATAACCACATCAGCACAATACCCTATAACAACCTGATCTGCAGATTCTATAAAAGAAGGCACGACTGGGGAAAGCGTTAGTATTTTTCTCTATACATACATGGTCCGAACGTTACAGTCCTCAGTAATTAGCCTCGTTCGAAAGCTGGGATAACGGCAGCATTAGGAACCTTGAAGAATAGTTGTGAGTCCCAGTTTTGTCTTAAATAATGGTTTTCTCTTTATTTCTTAGCATTCAGAAATTATTAATAATTAATCATAACGAATAATTGTTCTTAACTAAGATTTTTCTTGCCCTTTATAGCTCTTGATCCTGGTGATTTCCATCCGCTAAACGCAAACTACTTACTATCATTGATTTCATGATTCCTATCTTAGCACCATAAATATGAGTTGACACAAAATTAAGAATGAAACCCGCATTTGTGAGTTTTATATACACATCCCTACTCAGTTTGTTTCCTTCTTTAGTAACTGGGAGATCTAAAAAGGGTAACTTAGTATCCTTTTATAACTCCATAGTGAATTCAGTCGTCCTATCTAATCTATTAATTAGCCTAAGGTAGTCTTCCAGAGTCTTTTCGCCATGCTGTCAGATAGCAAAGTAATCACCCATATATCTGACTAAGAGATTTGGAACTAAGAATGCTTCTTGAAAAACCTTATTGAAACCCAGTTTTTCTACATACCTTCTAAAAAAAGCCTGACTTATAAGAGAGTTATGTAGTTTGGATTTCATAGATTTGGACTTGGTTGTTATTAACAGGGGAGATAAGTTACAGTGAATAGGATTTTTTGTACAGATGCAATAGGAGAAAACTTTGGAAGAGAACAATACAAAATAAAACTTAGATTATACCAGGCAGATAGAAGTGCCCTTGTTGGTTCACTATCATATATAGATCGTCTTGCCCTGACGCTTCAAAGCCTGAATATAGAAAGTGCTCTAATGGAACAGGCCGCTTTTCTGTAACGACAACATGGATTGTGTCTACCGGGTGTTCAAGTAGTGAGTTTCCAGGTCCGGTGATGCTGCTACGGATTCGACCCAGCCAGTCTGCGAACTCATTAACATTGGGAACAGTGGCGCTAAGAAGCACAAGGATGACTGAACGAGGTAGCATGATCATCAGTTCCTCCCACACGTGGCCACGTTCCTCATTATTTAGATAATGGACCTAAGAACATAAGTTATAAAGATGGTAAATATATTGAGAATATAAAAGCATATGAATATATCTAGAGATATTCTCGAGGTTCATCAAATAGAGCCAACGAAAAAATAGACATGACACTTTCAGATGTTAGCATTGACACAAGCAGGCCTCATTTTTACATTAACTTTCACACAGCCTTACCCACTCAAATCATTGTGGGAAACTTTAATTGCATCAGCTTAAACAAAATAGGGCCAATACATTTTATATATAAGATCCACTGTTAGTCTCAAAAACCTACTTACAAACGAAGAATAAATTTTGCAGTCAATTGATTGATCTACCATCCTAGTAAAGAAGGTAATATGGGAAAGACCCGGACTTCCTTAAAATTCATGTCTGCTATGTGACTCAAAGGCCTTCAGAAATTATTAATAATTAATCCTAACGGATAATTTTTCCCAACTAAGATTGTTTTTGACCTTTCTAGCTCTTGATCCTGGTGACCCAGGCTGAGACTATACGCCGCACTACCAGTGTTCGAGTACCGCTAAGGAGTGTTGATGAGACAAGGCTGAAAAATTCACTAGAAAAGCGAGGCCTACTCATATCAATGTGAAAACATTCATCAATTCTTCATTACCTTAAATAAAATAGGTTAAATACAGCTCTTGTATAAGGTTAAAAGTTTGTCTTACATACGGATAAACGATGAAAATAAAAGCAAACAGGAGATATCTTAATTAAGATTGAGATTAAATATAAGGTGTTCCAAATAAGGAAGGTAAGAGTTAAATGCATATAACAAAAACATTATAGTTATACAAGGCATTCATACTTCTTTTAAAGGATCTGTTAAACTTCCTCTGAATTACGTGGGATTATTCTAGATGGGACTTAGGCTGCA